CCAGCACTCCTTACCACCCTTTTTCTTCTTTCCTCCAGATTACAGAAGGAACAGAAAAGAATGGAGCTTTTTTTTTTTTTTGCATCGCTCCTTATTCTTATCTACAAGCATCCGCGCCGACCCCAGAAATGCAGAAATGATATGAAGAACACTTAAGCAGAAAACCAGAGGGAAAAACCAGACATGAAGAGAAGGGCGAGGGAACAAAGGCTAAACAAAATAAAATCAAAATCAAAATCTGAATGAAAGCAGGGAGAACCTCAATAGCGTGTAACGAGAGGGGAGGGAGATAATTAATGGGGATGGTAAGAATTAATGTTAAAATTAGACGATAATGCTGCGGATCTCAGGCTTTTCAGCTCCCGTGGAGCAACGTCGGAAGAGTCAAAAATAGGAAGCTGTAAGGTTTTCTTCTCACCGACTTCAGGAAAAAACATTGTTCTCCGAAATTTAAGGAACGGAAAGGAAGACAGTGGAGTTGCTAAGTGAGACGTTTGTTAAATGAGCTCTTACGAGCACCTTTGCCACAGTGGTTGTGAAGTTTATCGCTGCAGTCCTTAAGTTAGCAACACGCTTGTGAAGTGAATCCGTCTCTTCCCCCATTGCCTTTGCTTGTTGGAAGGTCGCCAAAGGGGATCACGTGATCCCACTGCAACCGTCCTAAGTACATGCCAGTTGCCAAGCCTCTGAATTTTGATCACGTCACCCTGGGGATGCTGCAGTGGCCGCACGTGAGAAAAGCAGTCGTAAGTCTCTTTGTTCAGTGCCGTCATAACTCCGAACGGTCACTAAACGGACGGTTGTAAAGCGAGGACTGCTTTTTTTCAAAAGAGCCATGAATTTGCAACTCTTAAAGGGGAAATTCTACTAATTCCTGATTAGACACAATAATAATAATAATAATAATAATAATAATAATAATAATAATAATAATAATAATAATAATAATAATAATAATAATAAAGTTGGAAGGGACCTTGGAGGTCTTCTAGTCCAACCCCCTGCTCAGGCAGGAAACCCTATAGCATTTTAGACAAATGGCTGTCCAGTCTCTTCTTAAAAACTTCCAGTGCTGGCGCATTCACCGCTTCTGGAGGCAGGTTGTTCCACTGATTGATTGTTCTAATTGTCAGGAAGTTACTCCTTAGTTCTAGGTTGCTTCTCTCCTTGATCAGTTTCCACCCGTTGCTTCTTGTCCTGTCTTCAGGCGCTTTGGAGAATAGCTTGACTCCCTCTTCTTTGGGGCAGCCCCTGAGATACTGGAACACTGCTATCATGTCCCCCCTCGTCCTTCTCTTCATTAAACTAGACATCCCCAATTCCAGCAGCCGTTCCTTATATGCTTTAGCCTCCAGTCCCCTAATCATCTTTGTTGCTCTTCTCTGTACTCTTTCTAGAGTCTCAGCATCTTTTTTACATCGTGGTGACCAAAACTGGATGCAGTATTCCAAGTGTGGCCTTACCAAGGCCTTGTAAAGTGGTATTAATACTTCACGTGATCTTGATTCTCTCCCTCTGTTAATGCAGCCCAGCACTGTGTTGGCCTTTTGGGCAGCTGCAGCACACTGCTGGCTCCTATTTAAGTGATAATAAGGCCGCCTGTGATTCATTCAGAAGGTGATGCATTGACTGGCAAAAGCACCAGAGTTTGCAGTCTTTTGAAGAAAAGTCTTTTAAAAATACAGATAGTATTTTACAATACAATACAGTACAATACAATAATTCTTTTAGTGACTGTTCAAAGTTACAATTGCACTGGAAAAAAGTGACTTACAACCGTTTTTCACCCTTAGCACCGTTGCAGCATCCCCACGGTCACGTGATCAAAATTCAGACGCCTGGCAACTGACTCATACTTATGACGGTTGCACGGTGTCCCGGGGTCACGTGATCCCCTTTTGCGACCGTCTGAGAAGCAAAGTCAATGGGGAAGCTGGATTCATTTAACGACCCCCGTGTTCCTAACTTGACCTCTGCAGTGATTCGCTTAGCAAATGTGGGAAGGAAGGCGGTAAAATCGGGCAAAGCTCGCTTAAGTGTCTCACTTAGTGACAGAAATTTTGGGCTCAATCGTCGTAAGTCGAGGACTGCCTGTATTATTATTTTTTTTGTATACAGTATATATATACTGTTGCTTTGGATTTAAAAGCCAGGAGGCTGCCTCTGTGTTTCCCAGCAAGAGGCAAAAATGATTACAAACTTTTAACGATTTATATCTACAATCTCATTTTAGCCCAGCAGCAAAATCATTTTTCAAACTGGCTGCTTCAAAACTGGTGTGTGTGTGTCCGTGAGTGTGTATGCGTGTGTGATCTTAATGAAATTGCTTCTGCATTTCACGGCATAATACAGAGCAAGGAGGAGATTTTTTTATTTGTTTTTTTTTAATGATGGAAAAGCAATGAAACTTGAAGCGAAAAAGACAAATTTGACTTAGGAGAGCTAATCGCACAGGAAGCTGCCTTTTACTCAAATGTTCAATATTTAGAATAATTTCCCACGAGGAGAGCCTGGCATGTCGAACCTTTTTCCAGAATTGAAGCAAGGAGGGAATTAAAAAGAAAAACAAACAAACAAAAGAAAAACCTAGAAGGTATTTCAGACAGAAATGTAGTTTGTTTTGGGAAAAAAAATGCTTCTTTTTAAAGATGCCAGACTTCCACAGATAGAAATTCATAGCAATGGCTTGGGAAAAAATATTTGTCTTACTAAGGTAAAGGTTTCCTACTGATTTGTTAAAGTGTGTGTGTGTGTGTGTGTGTGTGTGTGTGAGAGAGAGAGAGAGAGAGAGAGAGAGAGAGAGAGAGAGAGAGAGAGAGAGAGAGAGAGAGAGAGAGAGAGAGAGAGAGAGAGAGAGAGAGAGAGAGAGAGAGAGAGAAGGGAGGGAGGGAAGGAAGGAAGGAAGGAAGGAAGGAAGGAGAGAGAAAGGGAGGGAGGGAGAGAGGGAGGGAGGGAGGAAGGAAGGACAAAGAAAGGGAGGGATGGAAGAAGAAAGGAAGGAAGGAAGAAGAGAGAAAGGGAGGGAGGAAGAAATTACACTGATATTTCTATTCAGCAATTCCTGAACGTAAGGTATCCTGGAATACAATTCACAGACCGAAGAGTCAAAAGTCAAACACAGATAAATAACTTCTGCTATATCCACTATGGACTTTCACATAGCTGGGGCAAACATCATTTATCATAAATTATCATTTATAATTTTAACTAGAAATCAAACCTTTTGACAACCACATTTCCCACTTTCCCCCCATGTAGGCATTCCACGTTTAAAACATTCATCCACAACTGTCAGCACCAAATATTTGCTACACAACTCAACCTCATGGTTGTTATGTCATTATCATTATATATATATAATAGGCTTATATTATTATCCAGCCAGAGTAACTAACAGAGAGGTGTTAAATCATATAACACACCACTAGAAGCCAAAATCATAAGATCACATCTGAGTTACTTTGGCCGTACCATGGGTGCAAATTCATTGGGGAAGTCTATGATGCTAGGAATGGTTGATGGAGCAAGGAGAAAGGGCCAGTGAAGAACACACTGGCTTGATAACATCAAATCTGATGCAAAGTTGAACATCCAATAATTGACAGAAGCTGTGCTTGACCAGGTAGCCTGGAGCACACTTGCCTATAAAGTCGCCAAGATTCGGACACAACTAAATGGTTAAAAACAACAACAACAACAACAATAGGCTTAAATTACACATCATGTTCTCATTCAAAAGAAAAAAAATATTCACGACTGAAGGCGATTTTAGTAATTAGTTTAACCGAGTGCGTTGTATTATATACAACACAGCATCCTTTTTTAATGGAGCCGGGGTGCCGCAGTGGTTAGAATTCAGTATTGCAGGCAAACTCTGCCCACAGCCAGGAGTTCGATCCTGACCGGCTCAAGGTTGACTCAGCCTTTCATCCTTCTGAGGTCAGTAAAATGGGGACCCAGATTGTTGGGGGCAAGAGGCTGACTCTTAAGAGAGGGCTGTAAAAGCACTATGAAGCGGTCTATAAGTTTTAAGTGCTAGTGCTGATGGACTGAAAGGATACTAGTGTCATGTGTCTGATTAACGAAACACTTAAAAGGACTTTCAGGCATATTTTTCCCTAAAAGCATTTATTAAGGTTACAGAGACGTCAGTACAGCATGGTGGAAATGCTTAGGTCTGGCTTCTCTTCCGTTACGCATATATATTCTAAGCATTTCCCACCCCCTTATCTTGGGGTCATGGTTCACATCTTCCAATCAACTTGGAAGATGTGATTTACTTCCGGTTGCTTTCTCCCCGGCTATCCTTATTCTCCTCCCTTTTTCCCTGTTGCCTGGTTTAACTATAAAAATACCAGACAGTTCTGCATATTGTCAAAGCAAGAATATACAGTATTTGCAGCGTTGACAACTAGCATATTAAAATCTGTTATGGACACCAGGTTGCCAAAACATTTTTATTGAAAAAATGGAAAGCCACAATATCTGCAACACTTTCAACCTTTCAACACTAGAAATATCTACGATGGAAGCCACAAAGTCACAAGCAAATACTGCAAAGGCTGGGATCGTTGCTTTCAAAGACCACTAGAGACCTGACTGATTTAGGTATCCACAAATAAATGAACAAATGCATCAATGAATCAATAAAACAATCGACGAATGAATGTTTGCACGCATGTACAGTACAATATTTTGGGTCAACGGGTTCCCCATGATCATCGCCACTGGATAGAATTTCTCCCGTTCTCTATTGATTCTTCCTCAGGTTTATTTATTCCTGGAGACAGCTTGAAAAACAGAGATGGCGACCCAAATACCATTTTTTTCCCTCGTTCCCGTCTATTTTTAAGAGAAATGCTACAAGAGAAAGCCACAAGCTCTCCGTTTCCCAGAGACGCACTAAAGCACATTGTGATGCTGGTCAAGGTTGTCTCTGGCAAATAATAATAATAATAATAAAAAAACTACGTCTGGAAAAGAACACCAGTTGTTCCTACCAGCTGATTTTGGCGTGAACTTCTCCCTGTTGGCTGCGCAAACCGCTAGCAACCGATATCCAAGGTCCAGGTCAAAACCCTGCTGTGCTGCCACTCTGCTAACAACCTGAGGGGAAAAAAAAAGGGGGGGAGAGAAAAAAATAAAAGAGTTGTCACAGAGAGTTTCTGGAAAATCGTCAGTTGCTCGCCAACCTACCGCGGGAAGAACCCAACATATAAAGAACAGAACTCAGTTCTCCTTCCTTTAATTTCTGCTAGTGTTTCCCGTTCCATTCTGGAAAGGTGCTTCAGAGCCCACGGAAGTGTCTGCAACTCTTTCATAAAAACAGCCACGCACCCCGTTCAAACTCCAAAGGGCCTCTCTGGATTTGAAAACGAATCTCAAAGCATTGCCTAAGCCAGTGGTTCTCAACCTGTGGGTCGGGACCCCATTTGGGGTCGATCGACCATTTCATGGGGGTCACCAAGCAAGGCTGTCTGCCATTTTTTTTGTCCGCCATTTTTTTTGTCCGCCATTTTTTCCCCTTTTCCGGCGGGTGCCTTACCTCCCTTGGGCTGGGCCAGCTGGTGGTCGGCCTGCTCTGTCTCTGCTGCTTGCCAGCTACGCCTCGGCCGGCGCACGGGGTGGAACCACGCATGCGTGGCGCTCCCGGGCAGGGAAAGTCCTCGACTTACGACCGGTTGGGTAGTCCTTGACTTACGACCGGTTTAGTCCTCAACTTATGACCGGTTTAGTCCTCGACGTATGACCAGTTGGGGTCGCGGCATTAAAAAGGTTGAGAACCACTGGCCTAAGCCTAACTTCTATGATTCGTTGTCCTTTTTTTTAACAATGAGCGATGCGCATTGCCGGCCTTGTTTAGCTTATTTGCAGTAACTTTGAAAGCACAGGTTTTTACAAAAGAAGAGGACACTGGTAGCTCGGAGTTGTGTGGTGTCCTTGGTGGTCTTCCCTGAGCTTGGTTGGTTTCTTGCAGGTGTTTCTAGGGAACTGGGTAAAATCATCATTGCTGTTGAAGCATTGATGATGTTACCTAGTTGGGTAATGCAATGTCTGCAAGAGAGGCAGAATAGCAGAGTTGAAAGGCAACTTTGGAGGTCTTCTAGTCCAACCCTCCGTTCGAGCAGGAGACCCTATATACCAGGGGTAGGCCACCTTGGCTCTTTTATGACTTGTGGACTTCAACTCCCAGAATTCCTGAGTCAGCATGGCTGGTTTAGGAATTCTGGGTACTGGAGTCCACAAGTCGTAAAAGAGCCAAGGTTGCCGACCCCTGCTATATACCATGTCAGACAAATGGCTCTTTTCTTAAAAGCCTCCAGTGATGGAGCACCCACAACTCCGGAAGGCGAGCCGTGTCCTCCGAGAGCAACGAGGGTCCCACAGCCTGTTGCTTCTCCCATTGATGGCCTCATCCAAGCTTCCTGCCGCCCTCATCCAAAAAGTAACCTGGTTTGAAGAACCAAGCTCTCTCTTAGAGCGTGCAAAGTCTACACTTAAGAAACAAGAGATTTCAGAATGAGCAACAAGTCATCAAGGTTGAAAGCAGGCAAGCGGTCAAGAGGCCATTCGCGGGAGGCAGCATTCTGTACTTCTCACTGCTTTGGAGAGGGGACTTAAAATCTGAATTCTCAGTCATCCACCGAGGACTTTCTCTCCGGAGACAATGAGGGAACAAAAAGGTGACCTGGACTCACTTTTGACTTCCTAGAAAGAGCCAGGCTGTGAATTTGTTTTGCATTTTAGAAGCCTGGAGGGACAAAATGAGAATTTCAATGCTTAAGGCTCCTATCCCCCATCTGAAAATTCCTGATGCCTCCTGTCTTGTCCTGATGCTCCTGTCCTACAGGCGGTCCTCACTTTACAACCATGGGTTGGATGACCCTTTGAAATGACCATTAAAAAAAGGTGATTGACGATTGGTTCTTGCACTTTTGACCTCTGAAGCATCCCCAGGATCACAGGGTCCAAATTCGGGTGGCAAGTATTCCTAATTGCAGCACCCCAATTAATCAGTGGAACAACCTGCCTCTGGAAGCTGTGAATGCTCCAACACTGGAAGTTTTTTAAAAGAGACTGGACAGCCATTTGTCTGAAATGGTATAGGGTTTCCTGCCTGAGCAGGGGGTTGGACTAGATGACCTCCAAGGTCCCTTCCAACTTTTCTTCTTCTTCTTCTTCTTCTTCTTCTTCTTCTTCTTCTTCTTCTTCTTCTTCTTCTTCTTCTTCTTCTTCTTCTTCTTCTTCTTCTTCTTCTTCTTCTTCTTCTTCTTCTTCTTCTTCTTCTTCTTCTTCNNGTATAGGGTTTCCTGCCTGAGCAGGGGGTTGGACTAGATGACCTCCAAGGTCCCTTCCAACTTTTCTTCTTCTTCTTCTTCTTCTTCTTCTTCTTCTTCTTCTTCTTCTTCTTCTTCTTCTTCTTCTTCTTCTTCTTCTTCTTCTTCTTCTTCTTCTTCTTCTTCTTCTTCTTCTTCTTCTTCTTCTTCTTCTTCTTCTCCTTCTCCTTCTCCTTCTCCTTCTCCTTCTCTTTCTTCTCCTTCTCCTTCTCCTTCTCCTTCTTCTTGATTGCCATTTTGCAAACTTCCTAGTCTTCAAGCACAGTCAATGGGGGGGAGGGGGGAAGCTGAATTTGCTTAATGAGCATGTGATTCATTTAATAACTACAGTTGATTCGGTTTAGAACCATGATGCAAAAAAAAGGTCATAAAATCAGGTATGTCTGACGTAATAACTGCCTTGCTTAGCAGTGGAACATCTGGTTCCACACCTGGTTCCATAAATTGAGGAATATCTGTACGACCCACTACGGCAGCCTTGGAACTGATGGACCTCCTGGGATAATTTAGTGCGATCTTCAAAAACTCAAGGGTTGCATTTGATTGGTTGGGATCATCTATATTCACACATACTTCTTCAAAGTCATGGCTTTGATTTAGGCCCGCTCCCCTCTCAGACAACAGCACCGCACAGACACACAAAGTCCATTTATATTCACTACACCCGGAAAGTGTTATTTGCGAATCACATTAACATTCCCTTAATTTAGAAAGTTAAAGAGGAACGGGAAGACAGAAGCATTTAGTCCCATTTTATTAATTTAGCAAGCAGCCTTTGGTTTTCAGCTATATTTTACTCCAAAGGGCTTACGCTGCAAGAAGTAATTTGTCACCATAGTTTTAATATAAAATCTCCTTGAAGAATTAAAGGAAGGGTTCATTAAATGCAATTATCTGTGTCCAACACGGCTTGCTATATATAAAAAATAATAAAACGGTACAGAACAGAAGGGAAGGGAAGCTATATAATCATCTATCCCAGCTAATGAAAAGCTGCTTTTTTAGTATTAGCTAGTCAGCACAACGACGCAGTTCTTATTAATCCAAAGCACCTCACACGATTCGCTTTTTCATAATTAATGATAAACTATTACAGTGCCTGCGACACCGATGGGTAGCTTGCTGCAATTTTAAAAACGAGGGGTGAAATATTTTGCACGGAAAACTGGAGGCAATAGCGATTCTATAATTAACCGCCTCCGTGTAAACTATTAGTAGAATAAAGCCATCGTTTCCCGAAGTTTATTCACCAGATGGAAGTCTTCAAGGTATTGCAGAACTTTTTAACGGTCAAATTTAGGTTGCAAACAATCTGCCAATCTATTCCTTTTATCCAACTCATCTGTTTCCTCGCTTCTGAATAAATGTTTATCAGGCGAGCTTTTGAAGTTACCCGGCGGAAACCGTTTTCCAAAAACGGTTTGGTTTAAACGGTTTGCATTCAAAACGCTTCAAGTTCAAGCCCTTTTCCAAGTTCAAAATAAGCTGTTCGAACTTCACAGGACGTATTGCCGGATTGCTTCATTCTTGTCTCAGGGGTGGGCAAGAATGAAATAATACGAGCCCAGGTTCAGAACGCAGGTTGTGAGCCCCAAATGGGAGACTTTTTAAAGTTTGTACACTTCCTGTCAACTCTTGAACAGGAAATGACTGTTTCAGATTCAAAACTGTTAGCATGGGATGTAATGTTTAGCTTAACCCGATGACTGCTTTTTCTTCTCTCTCTCTCCCCCACTCTCCCAATGCCTTTTGCTCCTTCTCTCACCCTCTCCCCTCCTCTCTCTCTCCTCTCCCTCTCTCCCTCCCTTTCTCTCTCCTTCTCTCTCTCTCCCTCTCTCCTTCTCTCCCTCTCTCTCCTTCTCTCTCTTCCCCTCTCCCTCTCCTCTCTCCCTCT